GAAGAGAGAGGGAAAGAGAGAGAGGAGGAGAGAGAGAGAGAGAGAGAGAGAGAGAGAGAGTTGGCATACGTGACAGGCTTGACAACTGAAGTGGATGTTTGAGTCTTTTGCAGACACCCATTTAACTCATTAGCTTTTTGAGCGTTGAAATCCGATGTCATGTGCTCTTAACAACTGCTAATTTGTTTAAAAACTCCAAACCCCGGTTCAAATACAACATTTAAAGCTTCACAGAACCGCCAGCAACCTACTCTGAACAACAGCAAGCCCAACTTATTTTTACGCAGCGTTTGCAGTAGAAACTCAACTTGTTTCTGGAATCACACAATGCCATGTATTCACCGGCTATCATAGAAGGCACACACTCACCGATCACCTCCTGCAGCTCATAGTCATCCTTGTTGATGGACCAGGGTTGAGAGCTCAGGTCCTCCGACATGTCTCAGGATTGCGTACCTTTAGTTAGATCCTGCTGAATCCAAGCAGTAGAGATGGGTGCTTACAGAAAACAACGTGTAAATGTTACTGTAATCCGCAAAGCAGTAGCATTGCAGCTCAACAGCCTTTCTATCATTCCCAAACTTTGCCACTAGCGCCAAAAGCCCCGCCCACCACATTCCTACACACTGACGGACGCTATAGTCAGCCATCTTGAGTGTGTAATAATTACACACTTATTAGCATTATTACCGTAGAAATATCATAGTAATTAGTTAATATTACTCCAATAAATTTGTGCTATTTAGTAATATGATTTTGCAATATTAACAATAAATGTATAACTATAATTTATTTAGTAGAAATTTTATATGACCTATATTTGAATGGCTGAGGAAGAAACATAATCAAGCAGCGTTAATTGTATTTTATGAGTTTCGTTCTGCACACAAACTACACAAACTGGTATAGGGAAATTAGCACACGTGCCAAGTGAAATCTACTGTAAGGAACATAACCTCCAACCTAATTCGTACATTCACTCAGGGCAAATTATTGCAATAATTGGTGACAAGTCAGCCCTAGTTCCATTAAACTTTTTATTTTATATTGTAATAAAATGCATAGTGGCCACTGATCTTTTTTGTTGTTGTTTTTTACGTTTATTATACTGCCATCTCGTGGAATAAACAGTACATGGGCCATTCTTCAAAAAGTATTCCTGTAAATGGTAAAGGACTTCTAGAAGTAGGTCAAGCTTAAGAATTTAATCTTTTCTTTTAATTACAACTTGATTACGGAAATACAGTGCTAAAGTTAGGTTAGTCACCACTTTGAGATTTTCATAATTTCTGTAAATTCATTATAGAATGTTGGATGGAATGTTAAATGAGACAAGCCAATAAAACATCACAGAATTCATCAAAACTTACTCTAATACTTGTCGCTTCCTGGAGGATGATGTCAATGGGCAACTCTTGTGTGAGTTAAAGGCAAGGGATAGGCCTATTACAAAAGATTAGAATGGAAAGTGAAATTGAAGAAAATCCAATTAAATGAGGATAATTACAACAATATTCTCAAGAATGCTTTAATAAATTCCATGTTAGAAATGCATTGCACCCAGAGACATGGCAAAAACTAATTTGAATTTTATGATATGATTATAAAATGTGAGACGTGAGACATTACTATAGCAATTTTTCATCCGCTGTGCTTCACTGTCGGTTCAGTGGTCAGTTTTTAAGTAGCAACTCAAGAAGTACTCTATTAATAGCATCAACCCCACAGTCTGTACAAATAACCAAACATGATTAAAAAAAAATAATAATTATAATAAATAAAAGAACCCATAAATGTATGTCGTGAGTCTCGTAACCAGTGGTGTAACGGAGTAATAATAATTCGTTACAGTACTTAAGTATTTTTGGAAGAATCTGTAGGCTACTTTACCTGGTTTTTATATTTCTGTCAACTTTCACTTTTACTCCACTATATTTAATGATTAAAATGTACACTTTTACTCCGATACATTTCCCCGAAGCATATTCGTTACTACAAAATAAAGTCGGAAGAACACAGACTGCAAGAAAGCAGGTTTGACGAATCGGTGGTTTGGCGCTTGTAAGTTTAGACTCCTAAAAAACACATTTGCCCATGTGCAAACAAGTGCTCGCAGTCGCAAAAGAGCGGATGATTTCATTTTCCAATCAATTCGAGGTGTGCGACATACAGTATATCGTCTGCGATAATATGGTAAGTGTTGTTTTAACGATGTGCGATCTGACATGATCGAGTATATCACAAAAACACACACAGAGTGCAGGCATACACTGTGATTTAGTCTATTAAAACGCATTCAGAATGCCCATCAGATTCAAGATAAGAGGCAATGCCTCTGTAAGTCTTTTATATCAATTAATAAGGTTATTAATCTATATCACAGTGTGCCGTTTTTTCTCCAGATATCAGCATGATAACAAATGTAATATTGATTTTATACAAGTTTAATAAAGTTAGTATTAAGTTACTTACATTTTAGATGCCTGTTTTTGCTGTATTTCGCCAATAAAATAGTTCCAGCTGAGCGACACGGTGTTTCCTTATTGAATGAATCAGTTTTTTGAACGAATGATTCAGTGACTCACTCATTAAAACAGTCAAATGTTTAATTCCTGAATGAATTAACCTTTTGAATGAATCGATTTAATCACAATGGCTCGCTCTTTAACTGTGACTTGCCGCCACCTACTGGCGGCTTTAATTTCGCATTTAAAGCGCCACCTGTGGCTTAATCTCTCAGAGATCCATGAGAAGGAGAACATTTTTCTCCTTGACGCCCCCATCTCTCAGTCTGGGCTATTTGGGGAGGCAGTCAACTCTGTGGTTGATAAATTTCGGGCAACCAAATCCCAGTCAGCGGCCCTCAGGCAGTTTATGCCCAGAAGGGCATGGGAGCCCCCTAATCCCTCCTGGCCCAGAGAGCGCTCCTTGCCCAGGAAGGAGACTGCCAGTAGGAGCAGCGACCCGGGTCGTCCCCCACTGCCCACGGTCTGGGGAGCCCGAGGCCGCCCATTGCCCCACCGGTGACCTCGCAAGCGGCTTGAGCTGAAGGGGTTTGACAGACCCAAGTCACTCCTGACTCTCATGTCAGGAAGAGGGAGCTTCCCCCACCTTACGAGGCTGGACCAGACCGTACAAATGTTTCTGCCTGCTTCTAAAATGCTCCCCTCCTGTCACATCCGCCACCCAGCACGTTTCGGTGTGCAGCAACCGTTCGACCTCTCTCTCTTTCAACATGAGGAATGGGAGACGCACCAGGTTTTCTCCCCCTACCATCTGTTCCTTCGTCACCTGCTGCTTACGTTATAGGAGACACGTGCGGTTCTCTCCCAGTGCCAGCAGACCCTGTACCACCTGCATTGGTTCTTGTAGACTCCCTCTTCCCGCGTCAGGACGCCAAGGGCCCTCCTTCGCGGTTGACGATGTCTCCCCCTCCTGACCATGTCGGCAAAACCCCAACACAGGCATGTCCTCAAACAGACTGCAACACTCTGCTTCCTCTGTGCTTCCAAGCCACAGCCATATCACCCTGCAGCCCAAGACTGGTTGCCCACTGAAGCTAAGCAGGGTTGAGCCTGGTCAGTACCTGGATGGGAGACCTCCTGGGAAAACTAGGTTGCTGTTGGAAGAGGTGTTAGTGTGGCCAGCAGAGGGTGCTCACCCTGTGGTCTGCGTGGGTCCTAACGCCCCAGTATAGAGATGGGGACACTATACTGTCAAAAAGCACCGTCTTTCGGATGAGACGTTAAACCGAGGTCCTGACTCTCTGTGGTCATTAAAAATGCCATGGCACTTCTCGTAAAGACTAGGGGTGTAACCCCGGTGTCCTGGCCAAATTGCCCCCCTGGCCCTTGTCAATTATGGCCTCCTAATAATCCCCAACCACTTGATTGGCTCTATGACTTTCTCTCCTCTCCACCTGTAGCTGGTGTGTGGTGAGCACACTGGCGCCATTGTCCTGTGGCTGCCGTCGCATCATCCAAGTGGATGCTGAACACTGGTGGTGGGTGCGGAGGGGCCCCCCC